CCAGAGGGCCAAGACCTGGCATTAGCATGCAGCAGGGGCGGACTGACCATTTGGAAACTAGGGCACTGCCCAAGGGCCTGGGGTCAGTAGGGGGCCCCATGAGATGCCCCTGGTATCTTTTTCATAGGCTTTTTTGAGTTTGGGCAAGGACACAGGGGCCCCATGATCCCCTATTGCCCCGGGGGCCCCATGAGTTGTCAGTCCGCCCCTGGCATGCAGTGAAACCCATATCCACCATCAGGCACACCGACTCTCTACTTCTACAGCCACTGGCCTCTCAGCCAGGTCCCAGACACCAGTACCCCTCTATTCATTTGGGCTTGTATAAAAAAAATTCTGCCTTTCTCCCCTTTTGTTTTGTAACGGTGCTTTGCTCCCACAGTCACTGTGCCCACTAGGCTCACTGCCATGCATTACCACATCCTGTTCCCTTCAACTTCAAAGTTACTTCTTTTCTGGGCCTCGCAGAAGCCAGCACAGCCAGTATAATAGCCATTGCAACCCCAAGCACACCACCAGCAAGTCTCCATGCATAAATGTCTTTACCACTGAGTCAATCTCAGAGTACACTCATAAACAGATCATCATCATTATCTGCAATATTGCCACAAAATCTGTCAAAGTGAGTAAAAGACAACAATGTACTCACAAACAATCTGTATAGTATTATTTACCAGCAAGTTAACACACTTCATCCTCTTTTATAACAGCAAGGTCACTGTGCCCTACGTACCTATCTTTTTCCATTTTTGAATCCTCACCTGCTGTCTGCACATCCTGGACCCCTGCTCCTGCAGCTTCATGTCAACCTGCAGCATAGGTTGACATGCATCATGAACACTACACTTTGGTTACATTTTAAGAATAGGAATTATGGAGATTATAAAGATTCTGGTAAGGACCAAGCAAATGGATCAAAATTCCTGCGATGCTGAGGATCTTGAGTAATATCATAGACCAAATATGGTTATTTGGCCATTGACTTCAATCAGGATCCCTGGCTGGTTTCTTTACAACAGAAGCCAGCCAGAAGTTTGTCATTTAACGGTGACAGAATCAATGGATTCGCAAAGGCAATCTGGCCAAATTTTCACTAAATTAAAAAGAGGCTGAGTTTTGAGTTGTGGTTAAACCAGAGGCTCATCCCTAAAGAGTAAATATATAAATGTAGCATGGCAGCTCCAGAAGCAGGGGGCAGATTAGCATTTTACTCCAGGGCTGAGTTCATGGCTAAAATTGGGGACTGAGAAAGAATTAGGGGCTTGCAGAATGGGTAAGGAGGTGAGGGTTAGGGGTCCCAGTTACCAGAGCAGATCACTTACAAACTCTCCAGATCAATGTCCAACTTCACAGTGTCAGAACCTTTAAACTGATCCAGAAACACTGTGAGCATGTTCATAGTGTCTAACAAGTGATTCACCAAGCCCTGTGAGAGACCAGCCTTCTTCCTGGCTTTCTCCAGAAAAGAGCTCCCTGGGATCTTCGCCTTGGTGCAGTTTCCTCCACAACCCAGCAGGACAGCTGCAGGACCCCTTAGAACACATTAAGCCCCAAACAGGTTATTGGGCCTAACATTAGAACTCCATCCAGCAGCACCTCCCCAATCTTCAGCCCAGGGGAAGAGAACGAGCACATGGCTTGTCCCAAATATTTATACGCATGCACCAGTGACCTAAAATTCCTATCTGGTTGGCTGAAATAAATAAATAATCATTTAAAAAAAATAATCATAGCTCAGTCTTGTTTATGAAACCTTATACTATGACCAGTTGTACCAGTGGCACCTACTGGCAACAGTGAGAGATCACAACCCAACTGAAGCCTAGGGAAAAACCAGGTGAAGAACTATGCAAATAGTCTGGGCTGACTACCACAAAACACAAAAACTAAATTTAGGCTAGTAGCCCCTGTTGAGAACAAGAGGACTATGCTCCTCCCATTTTTGGAAGGGGGGAAATTTCCTCACCGTCTGTAAGAACAAAAATAGACCTAAAACCTTAGAGTATCTGAGCAACAATTGGATAAGGAAAGGGCAGGGTAATTAAATAAATGCATATGGTAAAAAACATTTTACAATAGCAGATCACTACAAAAACAGTTTGTTTTACATCCAACATGTTACAGCATCCTACTATCTCACTAACTATTGACCCTGTTGGTAGCTTGTTAGTTTGGCTTTGGTACCTGTACAGTTAACAGAGGCACATAGAAAAATACACAGTAGCAATACTGATCAAATTGGAGTAAAGCCCCACTTTCTTCCACAAGTGCAAAGGCAAAACTAGAAACTTCTCTAAAAAAATCTGTCCCTTTACCACTACCTAGTTTTCAAGTAAGAGCATGATATGAGTCCTTTGTAAAAAAGTATTGAAGTCACATACAGTAGAAATCTTGACCACAAATTTTCCATATTCCAGTTCTAACAACTAACTATGTAACCCATACAGTATTATATTGAATTAGAATACCCCAAATATAAAGAAAGGTTGTTTCTGGTGTAATACCAATATGGTATTGACTATCCCATCACAGTTTGCTGTTGGATCACTGTCCTTTTGGATCTCAAAACATGACTTTCACATTTTAAAGCAATCTTATGTAAGTGTTTGGTGTTTTTATAGACTGAATAAGCAACTGACTCTTGGACTGTAGATGTATATTTGTAAGATTTTATTTTGTGCCCCCAAAAGCAGTAGTATGTACCAATACACATCATGACCCCAGGTTACAAATTCTTCTTTGATATTCTACTAGTGCAAAAGTACACTTTATCTTGCCAATAATGTATATTGTATATTATTGTCTTTTCCTTTAATTAAGTATGCAGAAAGACATATCTTCCTGTCAGTCCACAGGTATATTTGTAAAGGCTTCAGCCATTACTGTGACTCTTTTTATTCTGATATGCATAGATTAGCAAGACTTTTTTGTGATTATGGTGGGAAAGGTTTGACACTCTTTTGCGGTTTAAATGCTGTCTGTGTTCCCATAGAAGAGATTTCTCTTCTATTTCTGTTCTATCAGGGACTCAGACTACAATAAAATCCTAATAAAGATTCTAAACCATCCTATGGCTGCCTATGCCCTCATTGGCAGGATTTCTATTAACTTCCTGTCCAGTCTGACACTTATCATACAAACAGAAACTAATGAGATTTTCCCTCACTTCCCGCTTTTATGATTCTGTGTGCATTTGACTTACACAAGTTGTGGGAAGTAGGCATCCGAAGTACATTGATGGTCGGTAAAGTAAGGCAGAGTCTTCCAATTGGGTTTACTACCAGCAATAAATATTTGGAAGATATTTTAACTCTTCCATGATGAATCTAGACTCCATAAAATTGTTTGGAACTCTTCTACAAGGAGTCTATATTACAGCAAAGTTTTTTTTTCGTTTTTTATAAAATTTCAGCAAAAATCTAGGAAAATCCTAGGAATTTGAACTTTTTGGTCCCCTCACTTTAGATATTATGTGTATAAGAAAGGAAAAATAACAGTAGGTAGGAAAAACTTAAAGAATTACAATCTTAACACTCTCTCCATTTTTAGATGTGCAATTTAAGCATATTATTGTCATTTTAGCACTTTACGTCTAATGTTTGCTTTGTGAAGCAATTTTCTGGTAGCACATACTTACAGGATTGCACACCTGGTGATTTAATTTGTCTCATGTAATGAGCTGATAATTCAATCTGCTTTTAGGAGCTCATCTATGTTTAAATTTAGAAGGGTGGCTGATATATATCTAAAATTAAAATATACTCATATTTTAGCTAATTTGCAAAATTGGGTAGACCAGAAAAGACAGCAGGGTAGCTTGCAGTATACAGGTAAATAAAAGTGACTATTTCAAATAAAACAAAAGAGTTCCCATTTGTAGAGAAAAGCAGAAGAATCTAGAGAGTAGTCTTAATCTTATTTAACAAAAAAGGTAGAAAAGTAATGGCAATGTAATACAATTCCAGCTGATTTCAGACAGTAATCTATATAAAATTAGATATTTGCCTAATGATACTTAGTTGTATCTAGTTAAGCTGTATTATGCCACTTTATGTGTTATGATTTTTAATATTGTGGATGTACTGCTGCTGCTTATTATAGGGTCTAAATATCTATGTGCTGCCTATATTTTTGTATTAACCGCTTCCAGGCTGCCCTATAGCAGAAATACTGCTACAGGGTGGCACGGATGCGTAAAATCACATATATTCATACGTAGGTGGTGCGACTCGGCTGTCATTCACCGGGTCCCAGCCAGTGGTTCCTCGCTGGCATCGGCAATCTACGAGTATTACCAACATGGAAGAGACCTGTTTGTATACATAGCAGAGCCATACAAAGCAGTGTGCTTACAGTGTAAAGCACATACAGCCCCCATAGTGAAACAGCACACAGTGAACTCTTTGATCACCCCACATGTTAACCCCTTCCTGCCCAGTGTCATTAGTACAGTGTCAGTGCTTGTTATTAGCACTGATCACTGTATTGGTGTCACTGGGGATATCAGTGACACCAAGTCAGCTCCCCCCAGTTTCAGAATGCCCGCCTCAGTCCCACTATAAGTTGCTGATCGCCACCATTACTAGTAAAAAATAAATTTAAAAAAATTCCAGTATATATACCACCTTTTGTAAGTGCTATAACTTCCACGTAAAGCAATGAATTTACACGTATTGGGATTTTTTTTTTGTGAAGACATGTAGCAGAATACATTTTGGTGTAAATTTATGACAAAACTTGATTATTTAATTTTTTTTACTGGACATGTTTAACAGCAATAAGTCAAAAATACTGGGGGGGGTTTTTTCAGTCTTTTTTGTTTATAGCGCAAAAAATAAAAAATGCACAGGTGATCAAATACCACTGAAAGAAAGATCTATTTGTGGGGAAAAAAGGACATAAATTTCAAGTGGGTGCAGCATTGCATGACCGCGCAATTGTCAGTTAAAATAATGCAGTGCCGTATCACAAAAAATGGCCTGGTCAGGAAGGGGGGGGGGTGGTAAATCCTCTGGAAGTGGTTAAATTGTAAGTTACATGCAAATAATCATTTAATTGTACTTGGTACTCATACTTTGTGCATATGACAATAAGACTTTGAATCTTAAATCTGATTCTAGTTTTATCTGTATTTTACAAATGCTGGAATGCCATCACAGAAAAACTTAAAGTTACTAGTACTGAGATCATTATATTATTTGTATACATGAACACAATGCAAGTAAGTGTTGAAAATTGCCACCACTGGCTATACTTTCTACAATACAGGCCAAGTATCTGGAGGACCTTATCTCAGACTTTTTGTAGCAGTGTGGGT